GTACCTCCAACCCACATGCGCAGGGTACTACTCGCGCTGCAGCAATACAGCGGACGCAGTGGGGTGCCCCATTCACGGCCTTGCGTGCAGCGCACACAACCGTCGCCGGTGCCAGTCTGCTGCAGACAGTCGCTTGTATTGGGGCAGTGCCTTGCCGACAGAGAGATCATGCCCGTATGATTGCGACCACAGGCCGCGTTGCCCGTTCCTCTGACAAACAGAAATCCCGGAGCTCCAACAATACGTGCATATACACATCATACCCCCTCCCATGTTCGTTGCCGGCTGTTCTTTTATTTCATCTGCCAGTTTCTCACTGATCAGTGCGCCAAGAAACACACCTCGCCGCCACACCTCCCTCTGCCACCGGGGGGACGTCTTCACCACTCCGTGAAATGCGCCCTCGCCGCGCCACGGCTGCGTGCCCAACCCCAACGAAAAGAGTAATTCCCAGCACCCGAAAAGGCAATCGACCCCACCGCACCCATCGTCGCTAGAAACCGCCAAAAAGGCTCACAGAAAATGTCATGAAACAAAAAATAAAATAAGCCTCTGGGTGAGGCCACGTGGCTCCCACTCCTAAAAAGCGAAGGCCGCACAATGGGGCGATCGCAGTTTGGCTCGGTGCGTCCAGCACACACCCCAAACCAACAAGTTCGCACGCCACCCCCCTCGACAGCCAGGTTCCCGCTGCCGACCCAACAACCAGCAGTCGGTGGGCCCCACAACCACCCGACTCCCTTACGCATGGAGGGTGTCATTATTACCATCAGTTGCTGTGGAGGGTTGTGGCGTGGAAGAACTGAGAATAAAAAATAAAAAACACACGCGCTGCCCCTCAACGCGGCATCGCTGAAAGCTAAAAATCAAGTCATTCGCAAAACAAGCAGGGGAACCACACAAAACCTTCTGTCGCCTGCTCAGCCTCAGCGGGTGACACACTCCCCCCACCGCCTTCTCTCGGCGAAGCACCCCGCTCCCGACGCAATACACACGAGGAAGCCGCCACTCCGCCCACTACACCAACCACAATAATAATACAACTCGGCTCTCCCCCACTCCCAGCCATGCCGCCGCCCTTCCTCCCCACCAAGAAAGAAACGCACTGAAACAATGTCTTGAAACGAGACAAACCCATACAGCGCCATGTAACTCAACACACAAGCAGGGCGGAGGAGTCCCAAACACACCCCACGCCCCCGTCACTTATCCTGAGTGGTCTTCGCTGGCAGCAACAACCGGCTGGGCAGCCATCTCCGCGTCAAGCTGCACCTGGTACTGCTCCACCCTTCTCTCCCAAAAGTCGCTGGCAACCTGAAGTCTTGGCATTTCCTTTTCTCCCTCCGTGATATGGCAATCCCGCCTGCCCCTCATCAGCGTGCTCGCAGCGTGCTGGATGTAAATGATCTCACACTTCATCTTCTCCCTCAGCGCCTCCCAGCCCTTGAAGTTGCACGTCATGTACTTCAGAAACGCAGCCACCTTACCGGCAGTGGTGTGGTAGGCGCTGTGTCTTGCCACCTGCAGCCCGATTGAACGTCACTTCACTCTCCACACCGCTGTGCTCACCGGCGCCAGCATTTCGGGACTGCCCAAATTTATTTTTTTCTTGGCAGTTTGCGCTCGTTGCACCCCGGCCACGTAGAACGCGCCCAGCAAGGGGAAAAACCGTTTGTTGGGCATATACAGAACGCCGGCTTGAAGTTCACTCTGGATTATTACTCTTCTATTATCTCCACCTGCCATGCACCCGACCACGCAGGGGGGCCTTGGAAAGAGGCCCACCGCATGCCCGTCCGCCAACACGCTGGCCCGCGTTACTCCCTCGCTGCGGGAAAGGTGCTTCATCTTGCGAGCAACCGCTTCGGCGACGTCGCCAATCAGAAACGCCACGCAGCCCAAGCACTCAATATCATCAGCAGCAGACCTACTCTACGTTCCCACAACAGACAGCAGGCGAGACATTTTAAAGTTCTTCATTAGCACCCGCCTCCGCAATGTTCTTTTTGACCTCAAGTGAAACGGAAAAATTCCTGCAGCCTTCTGCATCCCCTCCATTCCCCGCATTGGGCCTCACCACCACCGACGCATCCCTCACCACGCGCTCCTCCTCAACACACGCACCACCTTCCTGCACACAAATACGTCCACGTAATCTGGCAAAAGAAAAAAATTTGTGCGGCCACGCAAACGCAGATCTAAGCACAAAGAACTCCAGCCGCACACCACGGATCTCCT